CGTTACCTGGGTATATGTTATAGCATAGACGATCTTTTTTGAATTGTTGTTTGACATGATAGTTTACAGCAGCACGTAAATCATCTCGTTGGATTAAATTCATTGCTCGGAATGTCCAGATAGAATCATTTTGCCATCTTTTATCACTGGACATTAATCGTAATTTATAATAATCACGAAGTTTCAAAGGAATAGGTCTCTTTATGTCAAGTTCACCTCGCTCGCCTGTGGGATAAAGCCATGGAAATGTGCATTCTTCCATGCCTGGCTCAATTTTCCATATGGGATCTTCACCGGCTTTTAGAGTACGGCTTCAAAAGCCATACAATTTTACATATGAAGCATACCTAGTTTTTCTTTACCTTGGGCCGCAAAAGTCATCCGTCGGATCAAGTATGATTGGTGCAGATGTTGTCGAATTATTATAAGCGTAAGAATCAATTATTCTAATGGGAGTTGTTTCTTCTTGTTTACATGCAAACATTTCTACAACTTTGTGCAACGGCAGAACTTTTTTGTTCATATATGCAATATGATGTTGTACAAGAAAATGTATTGCATTGAGGATTTGAATGGCACTAACCGAGTAGGGTACTGTTGTTCTTACTTCTTTCCCATCATTTGTCGATTTTTGTTGGATAACAGCCATGAATTCGTAGCATTTAGGTAATGGCAAGAGATCAGTGATATTGTTCGCCACATCGGCTTGACAGTGTACTACTTGACCTTTCATAGCTCCTTGATGTCCACGAACTATGAGTATACTCATATAACAATGCATCAGTGCTACCGCTCTTTGCTCAAGAAAACCAAGTTTGAGGCATATTGGTGCTGTTGGGATTTGTAACATATTTCGATCTCGGGAATGTGGACAAAAAGGTACACTGTCTGTTGAATTAAAATCATAGCAAAGCTGACAAAGGATATCGTTTTCCATACAATCATGATATCTTTCGTGTTCTTTCTTTGCTGTTTTCATATTACTGTCTGGATGCTCACACATACAACAGGTGCAAGAAGACCATACTTGACGAACTTCTGATAAATATCTATATATCATTGAAATAGTAAAGAGATTGTATTAGATCAAATGCCTGTACCTTTCAGTAAGGAAATTATGTATGATTCGTGAATCAAGTACATCTTCGGTTGTACTTGCATCAAGATCTAATGGTACAACAGAAAAATTAACTTTTGAAATCTTTTTTCTTGTTTGTTCCAGCGGTTTCTTTGAATGTGAGCGTTTTGCATTGTTCTTACGAATTCGAGATGGTTTATGATTAATATTTTTCTTTCTGTGCGATTTCTTCCTTGACGGACGTGATCGCCACTTTTGATTGTCTTTCCGTTTTCGAGACATAAACAGAATNGTTGTACTTGCATCAAGATCTAATGGTACAACAGAAAAATTAACTTTTGAAATCTTTTTTCTTGTTTGTTCCAGCGGTTTCTTTGAATGTGAGCGTTTTGCATTGTTCTTACGAATTCGAGATGGTTTATGATTAATATTTTTCTTTCTGTGCGATTTCTTCCTTGACGGACGTGATCGCCACTTTTGATTGTCTTTCCGTTTTCGAGACATAAACAGAATGTACGTGATTTGAAAGTTAGTATGAATATGCGAATAATTTCATTTCATTTCATCTGTTTAGTTAATTCGATGAAATATTCCTTTCATAAGAAATGAATTCTCTGTTCAGATCGACGAGCTTATTGGTCAGGTCAGGTTCAATTTTTAGATGACGATCTGGACATTGTACAATAAGGAAAGATCGTATTTAGTTCACATATACGCAGAATGAATACCGCTAGAAATGGCGAATTGAAGTATGAAAAATCATGCGCGTTTTCTGAACGAAATTGAGAAACTATAAAACAATTTTTGCAAACTTTTGTTGAACGTAATTTTTTTGAAATTATTAAAATCTTTATTATCGTGGCTATATCAAAACAGCGAGATACCTTTTTAATTGGTCATGCTCGACGCATGCGTGAACTTAGAAAAAGACAATTAGAAGCAAATCCTGAAGCATATAGAAGTCGTCTGAGAGATGAACAAAGACAATATCGTTCCCGCTTGTGTTCTCAATTGGTATCAAACAATAGTATGAAAAAGAAGAAACAATTGAATGATGCAGCAAGAGCTATGAACAAGGAACGGCAACGTCGATGTCGACTAAATCAATTAGACGAAAAAAGAAAAGAAAAACGAGATAAAGATAGAAACTATCGAAAAATGAAACGTAAGGAAGAAAGCGAACAATTGAACAAGCGTAACGATAACTTTCGAACTTCGTTAAATGTAATTCATCCATCTGAGATACTTATCAAAGATGGAGACAATATTATTGCATGTATTTATAGATTTCAATTAAAATCTCCTGAATAAATCTCGAAAGCTCCGCTCATTCTGTTGTGTTTCTGTTTTATTTTGTTATAAATTTATACTGAAAGTGTGTACTTCAAATACAGGAGGCTTGACAGTTTTCATAGGATCATTGTATGCAACCATGGCTTCGATCTAAACAGTTCTTCTAGAGGTTAGCTTGTACTCTTATAAGCCAGAAAAATTAGTGGACGCGACAGTGACTTCATCGTAAAATACTGCTGGATGACTGATACCTAATGATGACAAATGCATCATTCTCCATCTGTTTATTTCAGAGATATGATTTGATTTGGATCCAACTTGGATTCAACTTTAGAAAAATGAGTAGTATGACAAGATAAATTCGTTAGGCGAAATTTACATTTGATTCAAACGTAATTCGGTCAAGACTACGATAGAACTGACGAAACACCTGGTATTGTGCACGTCTGAGATATATCAAACTTATGGTCCTTGACATCACATTCGTTTTTGTTTTTTTGGGCAAACAGAAGTTTCTTTTATTTATCAAAATGACTTCGTTATTTTCAGATCCTATTTTCCTGTTGTTTAAATGAAAAGAAAATGGAATTTATTGTTTGATTGAAAAGTTTGATACTATGGCAAACCGCTAAATTACTCAAAGAACAAGACATATTGATTCAAGTTCAGATTTGAGACAGGCTTTGCCAAGAGAATGAACGTCAAACTAGCATATTTCATATTCAAAATGTTGGCACATGTATGTAACTATGTTATCATCTTGATTTAGATCAGTTGGTAAATGGCATACTTCACGAACGATAGATTAAACCAGCTATTGTATTTCCGAAAGATTTTCTATGCTAAAAGCGAAATGCAGCTGAATGAATCGCTTCGGAATGCAATTAATTAAAAAACGCCTTGCATGATAAATAATACTTATCTTTGATTATGTATGTAACGTCGATCGTGAGTAAGCGACCGACATGAAATTCAATGTCTCAAAAGCATTATCGTCGGACAATGGTTTAGATAGAATATTTTTTTCCGCGGAATAGAATCAATTTTGCGTAACACGGATAATCAATATTTATTTATTCACTACACTAACATTGGAAGATCTACGTTATTTCTACACGTGATTGTTTGATTCCTGACTAACAGTTATACTTGGTAAACGGCGTCCTGTGCAAGTGAAATAAGACCAAGCTTCATTACTTTGTTTTAGGATCTTTTTCAATTTGCCAACAGAAATGAAAGATAAATGCTTGAGGATAAATATGTCCAATTTTTGGGAACTGTTTATACTGCGAATAGTGTACTCATTAGTCTTGCACCTGTATTTCCTTATTGATGATTGAGTATAAGATTTTTGCCCTGTCGGTCACGGTCTGTAACTCGGTTTTGGCTTGTCGGTCACGGTCTGTGACTCGGTTTTGGCTTGTCGGTCACGGTCTGTGACTCGGTTTTGGCTTGTCGGTCACGGTCTGTGACTCGGTTTTG